TACAAATCAATTTCCAACCGAAATGGTATGCTCCTATGTTTTAGTCTCATATTTATACCTATTTTTGTCATAGACAGTGATCGAATTGGAGAATGATGTCTGAATCAAAATTGTAGCCAGATGAGTTAGCTTTCCAACGCATTTTGAATCGCCTCAATCGGATATCGGAATACAAAGTTATGATAAAAACACTGAAAAAGGTACAGCTGCCTGTTTAAAACAAGAAATTCCGTTACATAGTCCGTTAAAATAACAAATTCCGTTAGTTTTTCCGTTAAAAATAAGAAATTCCATTATATAGCCACTTTTAATATATAAAAGATGTATGATAAAAATGTAGGGAAAATCAATGTTTTGAAAATCGAACCGAACATTGACCCGAAAAAAGAAGATGATCAAGGGTCAAAGGGTCGAACCGAGGTTAAACTAGGGTCGAACAAGAAATTAAATTTATTAATTAAATTAAATTTTATTTGAGAATATACTATTTAAAATATAAATTACTATATAAATATAATTTTTAAAAAAAATTAATATTAAGTTTAAGAGTATTCTAAGTTTTTTCATTTGTTAATTATTTTTTAAACAACTATTTCATTACATAAAAGTTAAATGGGACCCAAAATAGACAAGCTACACGAGAAATAGGTAGGCCCAATAATGTTGTAAACCTAAAAACTTTTAACACATTTCATCAAGACAATGCTTCCTTATCATTTTCTTCACGCCGCTTCTTCTTCTCAGTTTATCCAGCGACTTCATTTTCTTGGTTTATCGGACGGCTTCTTCTTGTTTATTTCCATCAACTTATTTCGGATATATATATGTGCATATAAACGATAGTCTTTCAAATCACTTGGGCAAGTCAAAGAAGCATCAGATCTTTTCTCTATACCTTATTACTTTATTTATTTATTTATTAAAACTCGACAAAACTGTATCCGGTTCACCGGTTTCCGGTTGAACTAGCAATCATATTGGATTTTTACTGGGTTTTGTTTCTCTGGTTAAAATGATGTAATCGAACCTGTCAACAAACCGGGTCACGGGTTTTCCTGTAGAACCGATCGAGCCTGTTCAATTTTCAAAACATTGGGGAGAAGTTTGAAATTTACGTACAAAATTATTTTATTAGGAATATCTATAGTTAAAAATTAATTTGGGAAAAAATGAATTACCCACCCCTAGAAGCTACACTTTGTAGCTAATTACATTGAATTGGATTGGCCATTTGGTGAAATTAGTCCAGCCGTCACCAACAATTAACATCTTATCCAGCATCTAACCCCTTTGATTTTCCTTTAGGATTAATTAATCAAAGAGGTGATCGTGTGGCTCCTTGTAACCTTTCACCCCGAGTGACCTTTTAAAACATTATGACATTTGTAAACTCTTTTTTACATCCTTATTGGTATTTGCATTGTTGTCATTAAATAATTGAATGGAAAAACAATTTTTTTTTTTTTTAATCTGTTCAATTGGATAATATCATGTGATAAAGTGTAAATAATGGTGTACATCAAGCGTGATTAATTGCCTTTTAAAAATGTTGCTTTATAGGAATGATGTAATTTGAACATAAAAGGTTGATATAGGACCCACTTGACACAAGTTTTGAAAAGTTGAAACTTTTAAATTTGTTTGATTAATTTCATAGCCCATGTTTGATCACCATTTTCTAGAAATTCATTTTTAATTGCAAATCCTTTCAATAAAATTATTTTGTATTTAATCTCAAAATTTTTCTTTATTTTTGACCACATTCTAAAATAATAATAATAATAATAAAATTTAAAAAATTACTATTACAAAATCCATTTTTGTGAAAGATGGGGCTCAAATAGCTCCATAAAAGTGTTTCTAGACCAATGTGACTTTTTCGAAAACCCATTCTGAAGAGAATTCTCCTAAATTTAGTTTTGAATGCTAATTAAGGTAGTTTTTCCATAAAGCTCTTTTATATTGTGTAAAAGTCGTGTCAAATGAGCTTATGCAATAATATTGTTTGTGTGTCTACTTATTTACCTAGTCGACTCTAAGTCCGTTTGATTAAATTAAAAAAGCATATTATCATATATTTCATGAAACTCACAACTTTTCAACCACATATTTTTTTATCCTTTATTAAAATGTACTACAAATTCGATTTTTATCTAAACCAAACATGAACTTCATATATTAATTATAAGATTTAACTTGTTGTTGGTGACGTTAATCGACAAAAATCAGTCTCATTTCATTGTAAACTTTTAAATTAAAAACTATTCTTGCTTAAATCACATTTTTTTTTCTTTTTAAATAATTAAGTTATACTAACTACATGGTCATAAAAAGGGAAAGTTGGTCACGTATAGAGTAACTACTAACTATAGAGTTTTTAATATATCAGGGTACCCCATGCAATAACTAACATGTTAGAATATTTACGAAAAATTATATTTTATAATTGATGAGTGGGTTTGTTGGAGGAATATTGTATTGTCAATGTCTCAATCTTGTCATTTCCACAAAATTTATTTTCAATGTTAAGAACATTGGATATCACGTCCTTACTTATAATTGACATTTCAATCTAGAATCTTAAAGTTGAATATATTTTTTAAAAATTTTATTTCGAAAAAAGGTTTTATTTGCATAGCATGAATCCACTATGCAGCATTTTGTCTTCAATAGTAAGATTATTATATTCTTGCATCTATTGAATTATGTCTTTTATGTCAAACTGATTTAGTAAATATAGGGGTTCAAATAGTAGAGATAATATGTCAAACATTTT